CCTGCGGGGTGCCCCCTCCGGGCAGGACGCAGGAGGAGGAAAGATGGGCGCTCTGCTTCTCGTAGGTGGCACGTTCTTCCTTTTGTTCTTCTCTCTGGCGTCGGCACCGGCTCTTCGGCCGTTCTTGGCCCGTCATCCGTTGTTCTCGTGGGTACCCTGGTGGCCTCCTGCCAATGCTTTTTGGCGAGTCTGGCTAACGCAGTGGACTAAGAAGCTTCTTCCGCTACACTTGATGGTATACGTTGCCATTCCCCTATTGGGAAAGGTCAGAACTTGGCTGAGACCTGTGAGACCTACTTCAACAGCGATGTTAGTAACGCTGCTGGTGTATTACTGAACCAGCCGTTACTTGAAAGACAATCAATTCCTTTACTATTCCTGCTTGAGTATCTAGTCTTGTGTGTGTGTGTGTGTATATATATATATATATTTTATCCTAAAGCTTTTGACCATGGAGGTTTTGGAGTGCTGGGCACTGTTCCAACAAAGTTGCTCAGGCTGTTTACCCTTTACACAAGTCTGTTTGCTGAGTCAAGACATGAGAGCTCCCATGTTCTGCAAAACTTCTGCTGCAGAAAGGAGGGAAAACTCAGAGTATTGAGATAGGTGAAATCTGGGGATTTTATGTCAGAGGAGGAAAGGTATTTCCTTGGAAACTGAGACCTGCTCAGAACCTGCTATTTCTCAGCAGGAGAATGGCTGTAGTGAGATCACTACTGATGAAGTAAGGTTTAGGTGCTAGCTTAGGTCCCGTACTTGGGGCGTTTGGACAGGTCATCCTTTCTGATGTTGTTTGGTGGCTCTTTAGTACCCTATCATGACCCTCTGCATGTGCGTTAACCAGCCTGCTTTCCTGAAGCCAGAGAAGTGCTTCTAGAAATTGTGGTTGGTAGCCAGGGTCATGGGGCACCTGTGTCCTGGAGCGTGCATGCTGGCTCAGGCACGTCACTAATCTGGCGCTGGCGGCATAGCAGGCTGCCAGGATGGCTGGGACAGGCTGGCATCTGGCTATTGGCAGGTGCCTGCTGCCTGCATGCGAGATCCATAGGAACTAGGCAGGCAGCAGGGTGTACCATGCCCACGGTTGCACTGCAGATGCCTGCCAAAAGCTCTACAGATGTAGCTGGAGTGGGTGGCAGGTGGTCTTTAACACAAAACATGCGGTGGCCAAAAAGCTGGCTTCCTGCCTGGGCAGTGGTGACCAGCGGTTCTCTGCCAGCCTTTATCAGAGGTCCCTGGGCTAACAAAAGATGTGATGCCTTGCAAGGGGACACCAGAATGCCAGGGAAGGGGAGCTGTGCTTCTACCTGTTTTCTAGACCTGGTCAGAAATTGAGAGCAGAGTTCCAGCTCCCTCCTCTTGTCGCGCTGGGCAACTTGCTTAATCTCTGAGCCTTGTGTTCCCCTACCTGTAATGCTTCTCTCCCTGTACTTGGTGAGCTTGGCAGATCAAGAGCACCGTTCAGGCTCTAGTGTTGGTCCATCTTTGCGTGCTGGCTAAGGAGAGGGAACTAGAAGCAGGGAAAGAAATAATAAAAGCTTCTGACTGCGGCAGGTAAAAATGCAGGGAAGGCATTTTCCAGTCTTTTCTCTAATGCTGTAGTGCTCCTTGAATATGTCAGCCTTCACTCGAAGGAAGGCTTATCAGATGAGACCAGACAGGGTTGGCATGAACTCAGGAAACGGAAATTTTGGAAGATGCCTGTGTTAGTGCACAGCTTCTGTCTGGGGGGGGGGGGGGGCAAACTGAACAGGGGGGCAAACCAAACACTTTCATGTTTTTCACTGGCTGATCTCTAGCGTAACTATTGCCATAGTGTGGAAGTTGCTTTGCTGTTGAAGTTTTAACATCTTTGCAGTGTTAGAGGCATTAAAGAACTACCCATTTCCTATCAGAAAGAAGGCTTATGAGTATGCCAGTCCAGCCTTGAAAGGAAGAGTGGTCATTGAGAGGACAGATGTGTGTTCATCTCCTCTGTAGAGGAAAAAAGAGAAGAGTAGATTCTCAGAACACTTCTTCCTAGAGCCACAGTACTGTTAATTCGTATGCCAGTTGCTCCAGGTCACTTGATGTCTCCTGACACAGAAGCGATGGCTGCCTGCCACTGAGGAAGTAGCAGAGTGGAGGGGGAAAAAAAAAAAACAAACCAACAAAAAACATATGGCTGACTGTCTGCTGAATCACTTACAGCTGTAGTGTTGCTGAACAGCTGCTAAAGGCTGGATGGGTACTGCTACATCTGGTAACCTGTAAAGATCCTAAAGCCCTCTAATACCCTGTGATACCCAAGAGTGAGCAGAAAATTGGTTTGTAATGGTTTGTTTGTACATGGGGTAAAGTACTTGCTTAATGTCAAAGTTTCCCATTCTCAGGCTGCAGCACAATGGAATCCCATATCTCATCTCTTGCTGAGTAGCCAGCCCTTGGGGCATCTCTCTCTGATCTACCTCTTACACCTGCCTTTTAGACAGCTTCATTTCTGCTTCAGAGAAGACTCAAGTTAATTACGGTCTTGCATACATGATACTCTTTAAATGTCTGCATTAGTGCTGACACTGTATACGGTAAACAGCCTTAGAAACTGTAGCTCCTAACATATCTATGGAGTGAGTTCAGGTCAGTCTGGTTGGGGATTAATTTCACTCACTGGCCTTCAATCCTGTTCTGTAGGAGTTGAGAAATAGTTTAGGTCTTGGGTTCCCTGTGGAGATGGATCTGGAGAGGTGAGCCTGGCCCATGAGGCTTTCTAGATCTCATACTTCTGCCTGTGTCCCAGTCCCCTTTGTGACTTAGGTTTAAGTGACTTTTTAAATTGTCTTTCTGACTTTTCTGCCTTGTGTGCTCTGCAGATATAATGGCAGAAGTTAGTCAGGCTTTTCTAGTTAGACTCTGCCCACGCCCCCAGCTAGTTATGGGAGTGCTCCCTTTTACAGCAAACTTAAATTCAGGTGAACAGGATTTCTTTCCTGAAGATGGGCAGCTCTTCCTGGAGCTTATGTCCCTCAGACTCTTTTGAGCAGGGTTCAGTTGCAGTTGGAGCAGCAGCTGCCGTTCTCCTGTCCTGTCTTCCCAGTCTGCATTCCCAAAGAAAAGACTGAGGGTCAGGCTAGTGAAAAAGTTGCTATTGTCCTCTGTTTTGGTGACTTCTGCTCACCTCCTTTCCTTTGTTCCCCAAAGATTCTCCACATTAGAAAGATTCACCAGCTTTCTATGGCCTGATTTGGGCCCACAGGCAGGATCGTAGGGCTTGGGGGGGGGGGGGGGGGAATTTTGATGTCCTAGACTGACCACCTCTGCCCCCTGTTTTGCTGAAGTTACATCATCTAGGGCTGTAAGCACCAGTTGGATGTTCTGGGTGGTATGTCAGGAAGCTCATCAGTAGCACTGAAGGAGCTCGGAGATCTGAGGCCTTCCTGTTGGTTCTGAACGTAAGTGACTCTTGAGCTCTTGACCTGTTTCTTACATATAACTGTAACGAATCGCAGATGCTTTTATGTCTCCGCTGAGTACTATAATAACCAAGTCTGTCATAGGATTTTGTCCTTCTTCAAAACCATAAGATACTAGGTTGACTGTAGCTGAGACTGATTCTGCACTAGTGTGATTAGAATTTGACTTTATAAATGTATATATGCATACCTATCTACTTTGGGCTGGGTGGGTGTGGGGTTATTTAAAATAATGCCTAATAAACTGATTTGAAGGGATTTATTGAACAGGAGTGTGTGCTTCTTCCAATGAATGATGTTGCTTAAGGTTAGTATTTGGTGACGGGATTTTTGTTGGCAATGCTTGTGGTTAGTTTTTTTCTCTCCTCATTTTGTTCAGAGTTCTAGCCCCATTATTGAAGCTTTGATCAAACATCAGAGTATTACCATTCCTCTAAACACATGAATGAATCTCACAGCTCAGTTGAAGGCAATAAATACAGCTTTTCTTCTGTTTCTGCTGTCTCTAGTTCAAGAGGTGATGGGTGTTACTGTTAGTGGATTGTGGAATTTTTTGCCTTACAGTAGAGGAAATGAGATGGTGTTGTCTTGCCCAGTTTGGAGGGAATTCTCCAAAAGGCAGCTTCTGAAGAGAGCCACGTTTACTTCTTTCCTGCTGTCAATACAAATAACAAGCACTCTTTTTTAAACTTCTGAAACTTTTACTGCAACAAATTTCTCTTACTTTCTCCTCAATTTTTGAACACTCTTGAAGGACACTGAGGTTTTGCACTAATATTTTATGAGAATCTAGAAGATGACACTGAGGTTTTGCACTAATATTTTATGAGAATCTAGAAGATGAACAAAATCTACTGTTTCCTGACTAAACCCTTGCTGCTTTCTCCCTGCATGTTGAAATGGTTTGATCCTTTGGCAGTAAGGTTACCCTTATTACATGGACTTTATAAATATTGTCAGTGTTACCTGTGAGCAGAGGCAGCCAGTGTCTGTGTCTGGTATTGCATGCCAGCTGTCTGAAGGAGCATGGGGATTGGCTCACAGGAAGCCTTGAAACTTGTCCAGTATTTTTTTTTACCGAAAGAAGTGCTGATATTCTCAACCGTGAACCAGGCACCTTCTAGAAATGGAAATTAAGGCTGCGATTCACTGTGGAACTAGTAGTAAGCTCTTTTTCTGGTAACAAAGACTGGCTGGTGTTAGGTTATGTATATTTATAAGATCTTAGATTTCTCGGACTGGTGTGTCTCAGTCTAGTCCTGGTCAGTAGTCTAGAACAGGATGTAGTCCATCTTGGCTCTTGGGCATATATTAACCTAAATAAAGTAAAATAGTATCGTTTTGGTGGCATGGAAGGCTTTATATCCAGAAGGAGAATTATTTCAAGCCTTAGTCTGGGAAGTTGGCACTTTCAGAGGCTTTTTTCCTAAAGGAGGGCAGTTTGAATGCCTCAGGCATTTTCTTTAAATCAGCATGTAAGAAAGGAATTGATGTGCCTAAGGCTCAGTAGTGGTTAGTGGTGCATGTTAACTTGCAGGATCAAATGCTGAAGTTCACTGATCCCATGATTCAGATTTTTCTCCACTGTGTCACCAGACAATCAACTCTAAGCTGCATCTGTTTTGTGTGCATTTGTCAGGAGGAGGAGGATGAGGCCAAGGGACCCTTTCCAGGCGTAGCATAATTCAGTAATGGGAAGAGCTTGAATCTGGCTGCAAAATGGTGACGAGAAAAACAAATACTAGGAAAAACCCCACGCTTTCCTAGACTTCAGCCAGATTTTTGTCTTCAATGGAAAGGAACCAGGCAGGCTGCATGACCAGCTAGCTGGAGTAGGAGATATGTGCTTACTGCTTCCACTTCACATTTAATAATTTCTGAAACAAAAAGCCTGTTGGAAGGCTTCCTTGTGGTTTAAGTGTTGTATTTTGAAGGTTGCTGTGTGCATTTTATCTGGCATCAATATAGTTGTGCATGCATCGCTAATTTAGTTCAGGTGGGAACTTGTGAGATTTTGGTCTCTTCAAGGGTAGAGAGGCTTCTGCAAGTGTTCCTGTATAAAGCCTTTTCTTAAGTTGTGTTCAGGGTCTTTTGTTGATGGCACCATGAAGTCCTTTCACCCTTGGTGTCCCTAGAAGTATATATCCTGGGAACTGGAGTGTTTTCTGTTACTTTGTGTGGCTTTCAAGCTTATGGAATTGCAGACAGTCCAATAGAGATGAGTTCTGCTTACTTTACTGGATCTGAGCTGTGGAGGGCAGGGCAGAGGGAGGTTTAGGTAATGTGGGAAGAACAGGGTCAGGAGACCCTCCACTGATCTTGTGCAATACCTCTGCTGCATTTTTTTTAATCCTGTTTATACAAGTCATCCTCACTTTGTTTTGCAGCTTCTTTTTTTTGCGATGATAGTGGGACGTGTGTCTTGCCCTTACAAGAGACTGTTTCCTGATTTTTTTATTTTTTTCTCTCTAACTTACATGATCTGCAGCTTTGAAGAGGATTCCAGTCTTGTGACCCACAGTACTCGGTTTCCTGAAGAAAGTCCAGTCTACTGTGCCATCACCTTCACCAAAGAACATGGAGAAGTTGGTATCAGAAAAGCCTGTTTCTAAGGTACTCATTGGTCTTTGGGGAATACTATTTGCTTGTCTTTCTGTCACCAGAATTTGGGAAAGCCCTGTTTTCAGAGGGATTTCTAGGGGTTTTTTTGCTGGAATGTTGTGGAGGTAGGTGCTATTGAAACCAGTGGCTTTTTTGGAAGAGTTCTCCTTTATGACCACAAGTAGCAATGCAGAGTCTTTTTGCACCTTTTTCTAATTATTCACCGAGTAGCCTTACTCTGTTCTTCTCTGCTTGGAACAGGGAAGTTTTATTTCAGAGAGCTGTTTTTTGGTATGGGAGGGGTGTCTCCCATGAGACTAGTCCTGTTTTCTTGATATTTATGGAAGCTAGTTACAGGAAGCACATGCTTCAGTGTGTTTAAGTTACCTTCATTTAAGGCATTGTATTGAGCTTTGGCACTCAGTGTTGCAGTGCAAGATTCTTGTTTTGGTGATAAGGATTTGGCAAATAAAATTATGCTGAAATGCTTTCCCATCTTCACAGTACTGTGGAAACATCAACTAACCATTAAAATATCCATTTGTTGTGACCTTTTTCATATAAGGGAAAAACAAGACTGGGACACTTGAGGATGGGATTAATCAAATTGAGGCATCCTATGCTCTTTCCCGTAATACCTGGGTCTTAGGTAGAGTGACAGGATCTCTTATAGTGGCAAAACCTGTTCTTGGGTGTTAAAAGCTGCTTGTTGCCATTGCTCCTTTTGGCTTATAGGCAATGCTGCTCTCTTGAAAATTGCCACCGGTGTAGCTTGTGTTCAGGCTTCCCTCAAAAGAACTGTATGCTGAAACACTAGACTGGAAATAGTTATGTTGGTGAAGGGACAGAGACAAGAATCAGGACTTACTAGTAACGTGATTTTTAGCTATTGTAGGGGGGGCAATGATGTGAATGGGGGGTTTCCTATGGTGCAGAGCTTGAATAACTTTGACAGTCTCAATAGATGCTCTGACCTTGTTACAGCAGGGCATATGAATCACTCTGTTTGGTTTTGGGTTCCCCTCCACCTTTTTTTATAATTTTTTTTTTCTCCTCCTTCCC